CGAGTCCACGCTGTACAGCAGGCTAACCCTGGCCTCGGGGATGTCAGTTAGGAGAGAAGGGAGAGAGGGATCTACTGAACGGCTTAGCCCTGGAGCAGGCATCTTCTGAGGAACCGGCAAGCCCTGAGGAAGAGCAAAGCCCAGAGCTAGAGAAAGCACAAAGACAGGACAGGAGACGGCCCCGCGTCCAGCCAATGGAGCAGAGGTCAGAGCTGGCACCTCCGTCCAGCAGCCCAGGATTCTGCAAGAGAGTAAACATGAGATGTTTTGAAATGCTCACAGTTGTGTGGGCATGATAGTGAAGGCTTCCTGTTGTGCAGGAGGGTTTCCTGTTGTGAGTGAAGGCATCACCGCTGCCCAGTTCAGCTGAAATCATTTCTCAGCAGTAAGGGCTGGGCTAATCTCCGCTGGTTCATTGGTAAATGGGACCACGGGCAGATGGAACATGAATGTAGCAATAGCCCGGCTTTTCTGTTTCTTCTGCTGGCTTGATGGTGACTCTAGAAGATCAACAGATCACCAGTTACTAATTCTTAGCCTAGGTGGAAGTCAATTGTAGTTTGCCTGAGTCAAAAACTCAAGACTTGACCCTTTTAATGAATTTAGTCTCCCAACATCCCAGTGAGAGGTCCCCATTTTAAAGAGGGGGAATCTAAACCATGACATGATCATCTGGGTTTGTAAGGGGTGCAGGGTGTATAAAGCAGCAGGAGATCACGTCTCATGCACCAGCCATACAATGGGTATTATAAAGCCGTCAGGGTCAGCTCAGCCAGCCACAGTACCGATTAGCCCAACAATCTGTCCTTGTGCCTGCTGTGGGTTTCGCGTGTTGTGGAGATTGATCCATCCAAGCGGCAGAGGTGACCTCTCTGCACTGAGAGGGGGAGAAAGGAAACCGCTTTATTTATTTATTGGTCACTTTCTCCTGTGCATCTGCTGGAGGAATAAGTCACGCTTTATAGGACGAGTACCTTGATAAATAGTTCATGGAGGGTTAATAGCAGCTTTCATAAACGGTTAATCAACTGTTATAGATTGTTATAGAGTCCAATAGGTTACTGACAAGCACAGTTTAGAACCATCTTTAACACCTTCTGCAGATGGGCTTATCACTATCTAGAATACGCCTGACTGGCACATGCTTGTAACAGCCATTGACCGTTTCATAGTCCTTTATACATGGAACCCTAATAGACAGTGTGACTGAGAAAGGGTGCCAAACCCAGGGCAAACTCCCCCCCCCCT